AACAGAAATTAACTCTGGCTAAATATTGGAGGATCAAGACCCATTGACATATTTCCTCACCACAAATTCTGTTCTCTAAACATCAACTCTCTCCCTCACTTTGGGAGAGAGACTGAACTAGACCTTGATGTTGTGTTTGACACCAGGATGACATTCAGATCTGACATCTGCGTTGACAGTGCTGGTCTACTTTGAGCTCTGTAATATTGACCAATTCTGTCAATCTGATACTGAAACACTCATCCACACATTTTTACCTCTAGACTTGACTATTCCAGTGTTCTTCTGACCACCTTTTCATCTTCAACCCAACAGAACCTTGTCCTTGACCTAAACTGTGCTTGCCATTTATCACTTGCACCAAGTCCCATTATTGCTGCAGTGTTCACTGGCCTACATTTATTCCCTAGTCAGTAATGCCTCAATCATAACATTCTCATCCCTCTTTTCAAATCCCTTTGTGGTCTTCCTCTCCCTATCTCTGTAACCTCTTTACATCTCTGCAAACCTTTGAAATCTCCAATATTGACCTCTTGACCAATATTGACCTCTTGAGTATCTCTGGTTTCTAATCACCTAGTCGGAAATATTACAGATTTTGTACACTTTTCACTGTACCCCTGTACTTGAGTATAGATGACAATAAAACCCAAATCTAAAATCTATTAAGTTTTTTCTTTAAGCCAAATCTGTTTATTGCCACTAATCTATGTACTAATTTCCATGCCTTCAAATCAATGCCTTTATTTACTGTGCTGCATGCCATGTGTACGCCAAAACTATGCTTCACATCTACCCACTGTTTGATTCCAAGAGGAGGAAAAAAAATCACCCAAGCTCACTTGCCCCACCCACAAGATGGAATTTCAAGTTTGAATGAGGGAAGACTAGCTTGACTGTCATCCTGGAAGAATATCTAGCACTGGCTCACCACAAACCCTATTACAAAGAAGGAACTCCAGAACCAGTAGAAGTAAGAGTACCTTTCCACTGTTTCTCTCTTTGCCTTACTGATCTGACTGTGTTCTTCCCTCATTTCCCCAGCGCACCTTCCAGTTATTTCCATTGTCCTTTAACATTGCATGACCTGAACATTCCACTTGGTCTTGATGTTAAAGGGTTTAACTAGTATTGCAAAATTTGAAAGCGCAAAGACCACAATATGACTTTAAATGTAGACAAATATCATGAAGTTTGTGGATAACCCAAAAATAGATGGGAAGGCAAGTGGTGAGGATGATATACATACAGTCTGCAAAGGGAATGGACAGGTTAAGTGAGTAGGCACATGGAATATATGTGGGAAGATGTGAGGTTATGGACTTTGGCAGGAAGAATAGAGGAGCTGAATATTATAATAGAGAAACACTGTTGAAAGCTGTAGCACAGAAAGATTTAGGAGCCCTTGTGCATAAATCACAGAAAGTTAACGTGCAAGTTCAAGTACTAGGGAAGACAAATGGAATGTTAGCCTTTATTTCTAAAGAGAATGGATTATATACATAGGGAAGTCTTGCTAAAACCGTACAAGGCACTAGTTGGACCATATCCAAAATGTGAACAGTTTTGGTCACCTTGTCAAAGGAAAGATATACTGGCATTGGAAGCAGTCCAGGGATGGTTCACTATGTTGATGCTGGGTATGGAGGGACTATCTTAAGAGGAGAGGTTGAATAGATTGGGCCTGTTCTCATTGAAGTTTAGAAGAATGAGATGACTTATTGAAATGTGTAAGATTCCTAAGAAATTTGACTGGATAAATGACGAGAGATGTTTTCCCATGTAGGAGAGTCTGGGACCAGAGAGCATGATCTCGGAGTAAGGGGCCAACCATTTAAAATAGATGACAAGGAGTTTCTTGTGTGGGTGGTGAATCTGTTTAATTCTTCACTGCAGAAATCTGTGGAACTATAGTTGTTAAATTTATCTCTGCTTTGAATATAGTTTTAATCAGTAAGGGAATTGAGGAATTGGGGAAAAGGCAGGAAAGTCGAGTTAAGGATTCAGATCAGTCATGAATTCACTGAATGGTGGAGCTGAATCAGTCGGTGGAATGGCCTACTTCAGCTCCTATGTCTTATGGTCTTAACGTGCATTATCCAAATAATCCCCGCGCTTTAATTCTACTTAGGATCACACTTTGTATTGACTCTCCATGTGTGCACCCAGACAGGATGGACTTAGTTTTATTTACACATAAAACAAAATAACATTGCATTGATCACTCTGATGCCTTTCTTTGTGATATTCTTTCTCTGTGCCATTTCCCTATTACTCATTCTAATTCCTACCTTGCCTCAAATTCCTACTCCCACAGAATCAAACAGTCTTTGCTCAGCCTTAATTACGTCTGTCCTCAATCCCACTACATTGCACTGTCTCTGTCAGTTCCAAACTTATTTCTTAAATCACTCCAGCTTCATGTTTACCCCCTGCTAAATTGCACCACATTCATTCTAGCCTGTGATTCCACACAAATATATGGACCCAGATTTTAAGGCTGGCGGTAAAATGACTGCACTGACCACTGACCTTGAGTAAACTGCATACAAAAATCAGGCAATCTCTGATGTGGATTTCACCTTCCCAGCATGGGTTTGGGTCTGATGCCAATCTATGGTGATTTCTGGGCATCCAGCAACAGTGCTGTCATCAGCAGGACAAGCAGCCAGTACTCTTGCAAAATGCTAGCCAGGAACAAAGCACTGATTATCAAACTTTTCAAGATAAGTTGACTTAGAACACAATTATTATTGGAGATTTAAGGTAGAGGTTAACTCTCATAAACATTTTAAAAATTAAATATTTTGATGAAAAGATGTGTAATTTTTAATTATTCAGAAATTTGGTGTGCCATATAGATAAAATTAGTTTCTCTTCACAGGACCAGTGATGTCTTTCAGTAATAATTATGAACAAAGGGTGTCGGTGAAAACTCCATTTGCACTTCATTCAACAAGATGTGTTTTTTTAGGTATTTCAAAAGTGAAACAACGCTCATGAAGAGCAGGTTTTTGTCAGTGCACTGACTCTTGATTGATTGTATACTGGTTGAGCTCAACAGCACATACTCTGGAGTAGTGTTGAATCACTGACAGCACCTTCTGGATTTCAACCTTTTTCCTGTGCACATGCAGACTCTAGAATGGGCTATCAGAGGTGTAATGATGTCGAATGCTAACAGTTTTGCAATCATCAGTAAACCTTATCAATCTCATCATTTTCACTCACCTGCCCCTGAATCCAACCATCACGCATTAATTCTAACTATTCCACTTCAAACTCACTGTTTTCTTCAATACTCCTTAAATTGTACCATGCTTCATCAACAGCATGTTATCTATTGATCATCATTGCATCCTCAGGTTATTCTTTCTCCTATGTCACTTGCAATGATTTAATTTCAGTTCATGTTCTTTTGATGCTCAGCAGCAACAGCCAAAGGTTTTTGGAAGTGTAGTCTGGCCCCATCCTCTGAGCTGCGTTTTCTGATTCTGCCTGTTTTTTTTCTCTCTCCAAGGAGTATTTAAGCTTCTCCCTGTATGTGATATGTTTGCTTCCAAATCTTTGACACTTGTGCAGCCTTCTATAGCTCTCTGTCCCATGCACTGCCCCTCCAACCTAAATCCTAACCAGCAGCTAGTACTCAAATCCTCTTTGCTTTCAATGGTACCTAAGTTTTCCAAGTGCTATGAGCATTTACAATTTATGCTGACTCAATCATAAGCATTAATAATTTTTAAACGTGCCCTTTAAAAGTTGTAGCAATGAATAATGAATTTAAATTGCAGAACATTTTTAATTTTCCCTCTGGCATATCACTTGTATCATCCCTTTTCTAACCTGTTACACACTGTTGCTGCTTTAGGCAATTTGTTTGCCAAAGTTTGCATAGAGTCTACAAACCTCCAGCCCTTTTGTCCCCACTAACCACCTCAATCTATCTTCACTAAATTATTTTTTGCATTTCTTCTCAACCCCAATCAACATCCAGGCAGCAGCCCCAGCTAAATTTTTATATTCCTCCCTTCGTACACTTGTTGCCAGAAAATGCAGCCTCCAGTCCTTGCCAACTCTCTTCACCACCTAACTCTTGTGTGCAGATTCCACAGGAAAATATTACCTCTATCTTTCAGATCCCTTCTTTATCACCATCTTTACCTGACGTAGAAAAAGAAAACAAGAAAGACAGCAACCGTAAATGAAGAGAAAGGGAATGAAAAGTAGGTGAAACAGGGAACTGAAGAGGAAGATAAGACCAGAAAAAGAAAAGCTGAAGAATTATAATATCAAGTCCACATCGACCCTCCAAAGAGCATCCCACCCAGCCTGTCCCCATTTCTGTAACTTTGTATTTCTCATGGCTAATCCACCTAGCCTGCACATCCTGGATACTATGGGCAATTTAGCATGGCCAATCCACCTAACCTGCACATTTTTGGACTGTGGAAGGAAACCGGAGCACCCAGAGAAAACCCACACGGACACGTGGAAGATATGCAACCTTCTCACACAATCACCCAAGGGTGGAATTGAACCCTTACATGGTGAGGCAGCAGTGCTAATTGTGATGCCCAAAGAGTAGAGATAAAAAAAAATACAAATAGACCACAGCATGCACCAGGAATAGGCCCTCTCCTCCAATTTATCATGACAATTGCCATAAATAGCCCATTGATACAAGAAGACTTGCACATTGAATATCTTTGCTATAACCATTGCTGCCATATTGCAGCTAATTTTTGACAGTAAAGAGTACAGCAGAGCAATGCATGTGTGTCAGCATTTAACCAGATTGTTTACTTGACATTCACTCATTGAACTCTTTAGTTTCCAAGTAATAAATATTTTGCCACGATCTTTTGGTTAAAATACAGTAGTTGACATGATTGAAGTCCCCAGAGTTTGAAATAAAAACCTACATTTTATTTGTGTCATCATAGTGATCAACCTTTGACAATTCTTTGATACCCTTGTATAATTTATTTCTTTGATTATAGAGGACAGCTGCCCTCAGCGCCAGCTCTGTGGAGGTAACCAAGCTGCAACAGAACGCATGATCCAATTTGGGCGAGAGTTGCAAGCCTTGAGTGAACAGCTTTGCCGTGAATATGGAAAGAATGCTACACACAAGAAAATGTTACAGGTTTTGCAAAAGCTTCTATATACTTTGAAAGTCGTACCAGAGGGCCCCATTGTAAACCTCCTGACTGTTAAAACAGAAGGACATAAATAGGAGCTGGAGTAGGCAGGTCAGCTTCTAGAGCCTGCCCCATCATATACTACATGATCATGGTTGATCTGCCCTAGGTCTGAACTCCTTTTTTTGTCAGCTCCTCATAGCCCACAACTCCTCATTATTTCAAAATCTATCTACCTCCGCTTTAAATAATTTCAGTGATCTAACCTCCTTAACTGTCTGGAATGGAGATTTCCAGACATTCACTATCTTCTGAGAGAAGGAATTCTCTTGTATCTCCATCTTAAATGAATGTCCCCTTATTCTGTAACTATGTCCCTAATTAGAGATTCCCTGACAAGTGGAAACACCTCAACGTCCATCTGGTCAAGCAGGAATCTTGCACTTGAATATGATCACCCTTCATTCTTCATATTCTAATGAGTAAGGCCTAACCTGTTTAGCCATTCTTGATAAGTCAGCACTTTTCATCTCCGGAATCAGCGGAGTGAATCTCTTTTGATCTGCCTCCAATGCCAGATATTCTTTTTTAAAATTCAGAGACAAAACTCTACATCATACACTAGGCCTGAAATGCCGTCACCACCCTGTACTGTTGCAACAGGGGTTTAAATTGCAACCCCCTAGCAGTGAAGGCGAAAATTCCATTTTGTATGTGGCTTCCAAAAAGTGTGTTTCCAAAGCAACACCAAATATTCTACTTCACTGACTGTACCTTATGAAGTACTTTACACTCCCTATGAGAAATCAAAGTTTAGAACTACAGTTAAAATGCCAGTTTTGGTTTTTTAGGTATTTTTAGAAACCATGCCTAATCTACTGTTATGCTTTGACTGTTTTACCACGGAGAGTTATCGATGACTCAATACGGCCGCTGTGCACATGCAGCCATTGATATCACCCGGCAACAGGACTGGCCACAGAAAGTGTCTTTGTACCATTGACATCACTCCATTCTGTGCTGGTGAGGGTTAGTATTCAGTGAGAGCAAGACATAGGCCAGTGTCAAGATGGGTTAGGGTGGATTTACATTGGGAATAAAGGTGAGAGGGCCTGCAATGGGAGATAACCTCCTTTTCTTTTGTCAGGTTGTGATTCGACGACTGGCGGAGAATTGGAAACCTGGAGGAGAATAGGATAGAAAGTGAGGCTGCTAGGATAAAATAAATTTTATTTATTCTGTGTTCCAGGCTACTTTATTTTACATTCAGGCTGCATCCTTACACTGGCAGTTGCTTCCCATCGCTTGAGAGGGCTTGAGGGTTTGCTTTATTTCTTCTGTTTGTCCCACCTAGAGGTGGCATTCAACTCTGTCATTTTGCCACAGGACTTGGAAGAGGGTTGTATTTAAATATTTAAATGGCATTCACACAGGCTCAGAGAAAAGCATTTGACAAAGTGATTTAAAATGTTAAAAGAGCTAGACTTTACAATATTTGGAAGATATATTCAAAAAATAAGCCTTTTGTTAGCTTGATTAAATGTTTCATGGTATTGATAGATCTCTCGTCAGAAACCAGGCAGGTGTTGTCTGGCAAAAACCCTTTCTTCCGGGTTCTGAATGTAGGACAGAACCGAGGTCAAAATTACTCACTGGCAAACAAGCTTTTTGGCCTGATGAACTACAATGGCAAATTATTGTCAAATTTGAAGGTTGAGAATGCAAAATGATTATTTAAATCAAGTAAGACAAGTCACTAATGGTGGAATATTTAAATGTTAACGTTGTTTTCTTGCGCAAATGTGCAAGATGAACTAAATGAGTATAATTGTAACTATTACTCAGTATGTTCAGTTTTTGTAATATTAAAGCAGGTTACATATTTGTATCTTGGCCTTGTATTTTAAGTTGTGCTGTCATATACATTTCTCCAGCCTTTACAAAGGCAGTTTAAGAAAGCGCAAGATAAAGTCAGACACAAATCATTTAAGCTACTTTATTTTATCATGAGGAACATACAGAGCAGTTGTTACAATTGGATTTGGCTTAATCGAGTTAGCATAAGTTGGCTTCATGTAATAGTAGAAAATAATAAACAGGCTGTGCCTACCTATATTAGTGAGTTACCTTGTTTGACCTAAACAAAATAACTTCTAACTGCCCTTCTATGTTGCAACCTTATGAGTTTGGTAACTTTTTTTTTAAAATGCCTCTCTTCTGACCACTACTGAGGATGGCGTGTAGCCCTGCACCTTGAACCAGGAAAATCCAACACAATAAATGTAGGTGCTGAGATAGAATAATAAATTGTGTAGGTTTTTTCTATTTTTGAACCTGTAAATACACTTTACTTTGAAAAAACCAACCTTTAAAACTTTTCCAGATCCTTTTTAGCAAAAACATTAAAAATTCTCAAAAGCTGATACCACCTTACATCAGAGATAGTAGGAACTACCGATGCTG